TAATTCAATCGCGTCTGAACTTTGTTTTTAATTGCCGCGATACACGTGGCGGTTACGTTTCACAAATTCATGATATTCATATAAAATATAAAGTATAATACTTTACATAATAAAAATATATCGTTGGTATAGGTGGGGGGTGTTACATTTGTTTTGTCGTTCTCGTCCGAGCTTGGGACTGTTGAACGTCCGCAATTTTCGTTGGGGTGCATACTTACTTATTTTTATACAGGCTTATAACAGTTTTTACGTTTTTAGACTCATCCGAGTAATTTTCATCCGACTGAGCGGAAGAACGATTGATAATTACATCTCAACGGGTTACAGGAACATTTATGATTTGTTTTTCGGAAGATTTCATAAATGGGAAAAAATATTATCTGGTCAATCGGTGTTTTTTCTCCATAATTTTGCACATTGAAGTTTTACACAATTATACATTTTTTTTTTCCCCTACAAAAAGTTGTAAACCGTATCGAAAAACTTTTTTTTTTTAACAAAAAGTAATAATCAATTTCTTAAACTCAACAAATGGTACTATCGTGAATTTTAAAATAATACGAAATTTTCATACATATACTTGAACAAATAATTATTTTTACGTTATATAGAAGCAAATAAAATCTTAAAAGTTGTAAAATATCATACGATACATTTGCAAGACAGTTGTGTGCACATGTTTCTTTTACTAGAGTAAGAGAATCGATTTTCTTGAATTTTATTATTTAGAAACAAAAATCAACCGATACAAAAAATTTTCTTGAAACGAAGTAGTATTAACTAGAAAATTTTTGTTTGAACGAGCTTCTCGCTTTTCACCACTACAAAAATACCTAACGACTATCTGTAAAAATGTAGATTTACAAATGTAAATAATTTCACGACGATCACAGAAAAAACTATAATTAATAATACCTTGCTCATTTCATGTGTCAACGTATCTGATAACGCAGCCAAATACGATTCTCACTACATTAACAATGTATTCAGCCAAACCGTATATATATATA